TGGCCAAGTTACAGAAACAAGCAGGTGCCCAAGAACCCATGAGCAGAAGCAGATGTGGTATATGTACCCAATGGGATACTATTCAGCTATAAAAAGGAAAAAGGAGCTTTTGCCACTTGTGATGGCATGAATGAATCTGGAGGGAGTATGCTAAGTGAAGCAAGTCAGAAGGAGGACAGATGTTTTCACACACGTCTGAGATAGAGAAACAAAACAAAGCAACAGACTAAACCAAAACCAGCTCTAGAAATTTTATAGACTCCAACTAGCAAAGCAGGAGGGTTGGGTGGGAAGCAAAGGAGGGGATCCACTGGACCACGGTGCAGGATTATTGATGTTTTGGTGTGGATATGACATGGTGACATAAAACGAAGAATTGTGAACCTATACTCCTGAATCATGCACAGTATCTCAAATAGAAATTTAAAAATGAAAAAAGTTGACTTTACATGTCATTTGTCACCTTCCTTGTTCCTCACTGATAGGTCTGATAAAGAGAACAGGAGACCTGACAGTGCAACATTAATTAATGCCTCTAAGTGATCGTTTCTCGTGGCATTCACCTGGACTATCCTCCTGCTACCTAATAACGGAGTCTACCTTATAGACTTGCAAAACTGCAATTTTAAAATACTAGGCCTCTGGTTCTCACAGTATGATTTTCAATTCAACAGCATCAGCACAACTTGATAGAATATGAATTCTTTGACCCATCCTAAAAGTACTGAATCAGAAATTCTGGACATGAGGCCCAGATGTTTTAAATGTTGGTTCCACTGCAGAATTCGTTCATGCAATTTACATGTTGAACTCCTCAGCCTAGAGTTCTGAATAGCATTTTTTTTCTTAAACTGAATTTTATTATTCTTCAAATGCAAAGGGTTTTAAATCACATCAAGGCTTTATAAAGATCCCATTCTTTATATGCCTGGAACCCAAAGATGTTCAGATTCTGCAATAGGTCATAAAAAAAAAAAAAAGAAAAAGAAATGTGAGCAGGGAGTTCTAAGTGAGCAACTGGTTCAAAAACATACAAAGAATTTTCATTATAAAGCTTTCAGATAACGGCCCTCCCTGGTGGTGCAGCAGGTTAAAGCACAGCATTAAGAAGCTAAAGTCACTTCCGCATGAGTTTGATTCCCGCCTGCCCCGGAGGTGACCACATGGTGCAGCAGACCTCTCCTGACCTGCCCGCTGCTCCCCTCAGCAGTGTACTTCAACAATCTGCCTGTTCTGCTCCCCACTCTGTCTCTGGTGAATCCTCTCACCGTCCCTGCACCTCTGGCCTGTACCCTGG